TGCTGCTGCTGGAACCGCAGCACAGCCCGCCGCAAGCGTCTCTGAGTTAACAGCCAACGTGTTGCAGCTCGTGTCTGCTGCTGCAGCAGCGGGGTATCAGCAGCAGGAAGCAAGGAGGGAAGCGGCCAGAAGAAAGAAAAGGGGACAGCGCCGTTGTTGGTGTTGTTGATGCTGCTGTTGCTGCTGCTGCTGCTGCTGCTACCTAGCCCCATGCTTTCTGACGGAAAGACAGTCTGTTGTTGCTGGTGCTGCTGCTGCTCCTCCTGCTGCTGCAGTAGAAGCACGAGGGCTCTGAGCCTTGCTGCATCTGTTGCTGCTGCTGCTGCAGTGTCTCCTCGCAGCAGCCGGGGATGGCTCGAAGGAAACCTGTGCAGCGTGGGAGCGCATAGACAGTCAAGAACCCCAAGAATTAATCCATAGGCTGGGCCTGCTGCAGCAGCAGCTGCTGCTGCTGCTGCAGTTGCTGCTGCGTCTGTTGGTTTCCCTGCTGCTGCACTTGAAGCGGTCGGTACACCGCAGCCGCTGCTGGCTCTGCTGCTGCTGTTGGTGGCCCTGCTGAAGCTGCTGCTGCTGAGGATCTTTGTTCTGCTGCAGCAGCAGAGACCTGCAACAGAAGCAGCAGATAAAATCCTATCAGCAGCAGACAAGACGGGCTGCAGCAGCTCCCATTGCTTCGTGTGTTGCATACGATCTGCAGGGGCACAGTACGGAGACGGCAGCTTGAGGTCTGCTGCTGCTGCTGCTGCTGCNCTGCTGCTGCTGCTGCTGCTGCATTTCTTGCTTCTACAGCGGTCTTTGTTGCTGCCTGTGCTGCTGCTGCTGCTGCATCTGCAGCACGTCGCATTGCATCCATAGCAGCAAACGAAGGATTTGCTGCTGCGGTTTCTGCTGCTGCACTGGCAGCTGCTGCGGCTTCTCCCACTTTTGCTGCATCTGTTGCTGCTGCAATGGCTGCTTCTGCTGCTACCTTGCCAGCAGCAGCAGCTTCTGCTGCTGCGTTTGCTTCTGTGGATGCTGCTGCTGCTGCTGCTCCCTCTGATGCTGCAGCGCCTCCCGCAGCACCTCTCCATCCGAAGCACGAGGCCCCGAAGTCTGCAACACAGTAGGCAGCAAAGCCGCGTACCTCCTCACCACAACCTCTGCTTCTGCTTCTGCTGCTGCTGCTGCTGCTGCTGTTGCTGCTGCTGCTGCTGCAGCTGCTGCTGTTGCTGCTGCTGCTGCTGTTGCTGTGGTTGTCAAGACTTGCAGCTCCTTCACTTGTTGCATCGGACTGCAGCAGCTGCTGCTGCAGGCCTCTTTGGGCCTCCCGCATAGCCGCCACGTTGCTATCAACAGATTCACAGAGCTGCATATACACTGTCGTAGCCGGGCTGCTGCACACTTGCTGTTGCTGCTGCTGTTGCTGCTGCTGCAGTCTGCAGCCGATCTCCCCCGCGCGCCTGGAGCAGTTGCTGCTCTCACCTGTCCATATTTGCTGCAACCAACAACACACAACAGAAGCAGAAAAGGAGCTGCTGCAGAGACAGGCGGAAGCAGCTACCAAAGCAACAGCAGCGCCACAGCAGCAGCAGCAGCAGCAGCAGCAGCAGCAAGGACAGCAGCAACAACAAATTCTCCGCTGAACATAGGTGGATAATCTCGATTCATTCCTACCTTCAACTGGTCCAAGGGGGGCATCATTTGCTGCTGTTGCTGCTGCTGATGCTGATGCTGTTGCTGTTGCTGCTGCTGCAGCAACAGCTGCTGCTGCTGCTGAACATGCAGCAACGCCAAGTGAACAACAGCCTGGGCTGTAGCAGCAGCAACAGCAACACGGCCTGACTTCACTTCTACTGGTAATATGAAATCAAAGAGAACCGCATGCAGTAATGCGAGACATGTTCTATAGTTATCTGCTGCTGTTGCTGCTGCTGTTGCTGCTGTTTCTCCTGCTGCTGCTGCTGCTGCTGCTCCTGCTGCTGCGGGAGCAATCGTTTCTGATGCTGCACGCAGCAAGTCCCCCATGAGCAGCCGCATGGATTCCTCGGAATGCTGAGAAGAGCCAGCAGCAGCGCTGCACAGAGACCTCGCTAGTGTAAGCGAAAGTTGGGTGCTGCTGTTTCTGCTGTTGCTGCTGCTGCTGCTGCTGCTGCTGCTGCTGGGGTTCAGGGAGACCATCAGCTTTCCCAGTAGGGCTGCGGTGTTACGCCACGCAGGAGCTGCAAGAGGGGTCCCTGTTTGCTGCAGCAGCAGCAAGCGCCTCAGCACAACCAGAGACGGCGCTGCCGTTGCTGCTGTTGCTGCTGCTGCTGCTGCTGCTGCTGCAGCATTTGTCTCGCTCCCGCATGCCAAGTCAAGGACGTCCTGCTGCCGCAGCAGCACCTGTTCAGACGTTACCTCTGCCAGCAGCAGCTGCTGCTGCTGCTGTAGAAGCTGCTGCTGCAGCGCCACTAGCTGCACCCACAGCTCCACGTCTCTCGGCTTTTGTCTGCACAGCAGCAGCAGATGTTCCTGCTGCTGCAGCAGCAGCAGTTCCTCTTCCTGCTGCTGCAGATTCCTCCTCGCCTCTGCCGCTGTTGCCGTCGTGTCTTCGTCTTCACCTTCACTGCTGCTGCTGCTGCTGCTGCTGCTGCTGTTGCTGGCTGCTGCTGCTGTTCTCTCTGCTGCACCTGCAGCAGCAGAAAACAGCAGCGGCTTCTCCAGCCCATCTATAGCAACAGAAAAATTATGACCGAGCTGCACAGGCCTGTCTGCAGCAGCAGCAATGCTAGCAGCAGCTTCTGCTGCTGCTGCTGCTGCTATTGCTTTCCTCCTCCTCCGCCGGTCCACAGGAAAGGATGTTGCAGCTCCAGCATCTGCTGCTACCCCGCTGCTGCTGCTGCTGCTGCTGCTGCTGCTGCTGGCAGCTGCTTGGTGCTGCTGGGTGGTACCGGCGGACTTCGTGCTCCTCTGTCTGTGCTTAGGGTGCAGCAGGAGCCCCTCAGCAGCAGTTGCTGCTGTTTGCATGCGTTTTAGATCCCATATAGTTTGGGGCTTTGCCGAGGCCTCATCTAGCTTTCGGATTATATCGGGGGAGACATGGAGCCCAGCAGCAGCAGCAGCAGCAGCTGATGCAGCAGCAGATGCAGTAACAAGCGGCCACCTGCTACTGCTGCTGCTGCTGTTGCTCGTGCTGCTGCTGACATCAATGCTGCTGCTAGTGATGCTGCTGCTGCTGCTGCTGCTACTGCTGCTGGAAGAGGGAGGGTCTATTATAATCACACTTTCATCAGAGCTGCTGCTGCTGCTGCGGCGGGGGCCTGTGCATGCAGCTTCTGGCAGCAGCAGCAGCTGCTGTTGCTGCTGCTGCTTCTGCTGCTTTTCCTTTTGTCGCTGACGTCTTCTTCTCTCCTTGTGGATTCTGTAAGCTTCGTCTTCATGTTGCTGCTGCAGTCGCTGCTGCTGCTGCTGCTGCTGCTGCTGCNGCTGCTGCTGCTGCTGCTGCTGCTGCTGCAGCTTGAACTGCCTGCGGTGCTCCCTCTCGTCTCTCTCTAGATTCACCTCACCGCATACCAGTGCTGCTTCTGTTATTCTTCGATCCTCTTTTGCTGCTGCTTCTGCTTCTAACTCCAGCAGCAGCTGTGGCTTTTGCTGCTGCAGCTGCTGCTGCTGCTGCTGCAGCAGATCCCTAGACAACCCCAGCTGCAGCAGAGTTGCCTCTGGGTTGTATGATGTGCCGCAAGAAAGTCCTGATATGTCCACCGCATGCTGCTGCTGCTGCTGCTGCTGCTGCAGCTGCTGCTGCTGCTGCTCATCTTCAAGATACTCAGGAAACAGTGGGCCCTCCTTTTGCTGCTTCATTTGGTGTTGCGGTGTACAGACAGCAGCAACCGCCTCGGCTTGGGGGCCCCCCTGATAAAACAATATCGCTTAATGCCAGGGTACTGGGGGCCCCATAGAGCCCCTTCAATGCCTCTTCACCTGCTGCAGGTGATAGCAACACGGCTCAGCGCTTATGCTTCTCCTGCTGTGCTGCTCCTCCTGTTGCTGCTGCTGCTGCTGCTGCTGCTGCTGCTGCTGCCGCCGCCGCCGCAGGGCTATGGAACACAAACACTACCTTGTGGCAGCTGCTGCCGTTGCAGCAGGCGCTCTTGTTGTTGCTGCTGTTATTTAAGTGATGCGCGTGCGTTGCTGCAGCAGCAGCAGCAGCAGCTCCTGCTGCTGCTGCTGCTGCCGACTTACGCACATTTATTTATATGTGACAAGCGAGCCACCCAGCCATCGTTGCAGCAGCTGCAACTGCTGCTGCAGCTGTGAACGCCTCCGAGAGAGCAGCAGCAACCAAGCAAGCAGCAGCAGCGGCCAAAGAAGCAGCAGCAGCAACAGCAGCAGCAGCAGCAGCAGCAACAGCAGGAGTACTACAGGGGCCCCCTCCTGCTTCAATTCCCCTCCTTCTGAGCCAGTAGAACCCAAATTTGCCTTTATTTTAAGAATTATAATTATAATATTTTTATTTTTATTTAATTAAACCCATCAACACCAACACAGAAGAACGAGATGACCATAGGGCCCCGGGGCCCCCCCCGTAGGTCTACGAAGGGGGGCCCCCCCGCCTCGCCTGTGNATATATATATATATATATATATATATATATATATATATATACTATACACAAGTATATAACAGTCCTAGTTGCGAATCGTGATACGAGGCAAGCAAATACATGTTTTATATTTGTATGCTACTAAGCCTTCTTTGGGTGCCGATAAAAACGTCATAGATAGAAGAAATAAAATAAAAAAATATAAATTTATTATATTACTATTTACTTCTTTATAGAGTAGTAAATAGATGCAGTATAATAAAGACTAAGAAGGGCAACAACAACAACTAAGGCTTTCTTAGATTGGGGGCCCCCGGGGCCCCCGTGATACCCAGGGGGGGCCCCCCAGCAACACAGTTGATACTCTACAAGAAAAGCTGAATCATTTGTTTCTATAAAGGTATTGCTATGGTACTAATAAACCTTTAAGGGGCCCCTAATAAGGACCTTACAGGGGCCTCACTAGAATCCTATGTTATCCTAGGGGCCCCTATGGGGCCCCCAAAGAAACCTACGGTGTCCTAGGGGCCCCCGTGGGGCCCCCAAAGAAACATACGGTATCTTAGGGGCCCCTGCGGGGCCCCCAAAGAAGCCTACGGTGTCCTAGGGGCCCCTATGGGGCCCCCAAAGAAGCCTTCGGTGTGTTAGGGGCCCCTGCGGGGCCCCCAAAGGCCTTATATATGCTAACCGCTACCCTAAGGACCTATTGAAGTTGATAGCGTACACTACGTATATTGGGGGCCCCTTAGGGGGCCCCCCTAAGTGGGCCCCCCAAGGGGGCCCCTGGCATATATATGCATATATATATATATATATATATATATATATATATATATATATATATATATATGTTTTATTCCTGGGGCTGAGTGCTCTGCAGCAAGAGATCAAGGACATATGGGGGGGGGACAATCATAAACACCTCTCCACCACCTTTAGGGTCGTAGGGCCCCTCGGGGGCCCCCGATGGGGTCTTTTGTGGGGATACTCTTACGGGGGCCCCCGCAAGAGCCACAGCAAACTTCGCCAGGTCCTGAATCCATAGAAAAAGAAAAATAAATGCATGCACGTGAAGACGAGACGGGGTGTATGCGCATACACCTCGATATATCTATAGTGTTAATACATAAATTAATAAGAAGAGAGAGAACAAAGAAAATGGCTCCTCACCATAAACAGAGAGAGAGAGACAGCGAGAGAGAGAGACAGAGAGAGAGACAGAGAGACAGAGACAGAGAGAGAGAGACAGAGAGAGAGAGACAGAGAGAGAGACAGAAACAGAGAGAGAGAGACAGAGAGAGAGACAGAAACAGAGAGAGAGAGACAGAGAGAGAGACAGAGTCTCCTTTTCTATGTCTCACCTGGGGTGTCTTGAGGGGCCCATCAGCCGGTTTACTCCTAAGGAGACAAATCCCTGCGCCTGTCTCCTCATTGAACGCAACCACCAACCCCACCTCTTTCCACTCTGCATCTTTTTCTGAGCTGTCTCCTGTCTCCTGTCTATACACCCGAGACCCTGAGCCAATGCATTGCCCCTCAGGCATACTGGGGTCTTGCTCTGTCTCTTGGTGGGGCCCCCCCGCCCCATGTATCTCCTCATACTCACTAGAAAGTCCAGCTGGCGGTGGTAGCCTTGGGGGGCCCCCGGGGGGCCCCCATAACCTATACGAAGTCCTCGTTGCTGCTGCTGTCAACGCCTCGAGCCACCAGCTGATAACACGAGCAGGGAGAGTGCTCTCCAGTGTGGGGAGGGCCCAGGGTAGAGACTGTACCCTAGCTGGGGCCCCCCTTGGCCAGGTGGGGCCCCTGAGGAGCAATGCAAGACGTCTATATGGGGTGAGCTGATGCAGTGCTCGTGTCAGTGTCTCCTGTCCTATATAACAACCTTTATTCTCTGGTGATAGAAACCCTAACCAATCCATATTTAAAGGGAGAGGCAGCAGCCCCCCTACACCTACTTCCTCAGGGCCTTCACATACACCCACCAGGTGTCTATACAGCTCATACCCACAAACCTGATGCTGCACCTTCTCCTCTCCCTCTTGCTTAGAATCCTTCATATCTTCATGCTTTCCTGCTGCTGCATCTCCTGGAGTTGCTGCTCCTTCTATACAGCTCTTTCTCGTACCCTCTTCCTGCGCAAGGGGAAGCGGGGGGCCCCCCAGGGGCCCCTGGGGGGCCCCCAGGGGAAACTGGGGGCCCCAGAAATTGCGGTGTATGTACACCCGGTGGCCCATTCGCCAGGTGCGTGGATCAGCAGCAATTAAACCCTCTGTCCATCTACCTTTTCCATGTTCTCCCTCCGCTGCTGCTGCTGCTGCTGCTGCTGCTGCTGCATCTGTTGAGGGTAGGAAGCCTTCTGCTGCTGCTGCTGCATCTGCTGCTGCTGTCGTGCTGGGGGCCTCAATATACCGAAATACAAATTTACCTTCTTTTGGAAAACAAGCAAAGTCATATGTCTGCTGAAACAGAGCCTCAGGGGGCCCCTCTTGGTGGGGCCTCCTGAGGGCCCGGGGCCCCCATCCAGCCCCCCCTTGCTGCAGCAGCAACGATAGCTGCGGAGACGGCAGCAGCTGCAGAGGAGTCAGAGATGTCTCCTCAGTTATAGATATATCTGCTGCTATCGCGTGACGCTGCATCAGACGCAGCACACACAGCAGCAGCAGCAACAGCAGCAGCAGCAACAGCAGCAGCAGCAAATGCAGCTGAGTTAAAATCATTCCAGCAGCAGCAGCAGCAGCAGCAGCAGAAGCGGATGCTGCTGCTGCTGCTGCTGCAGCAA